TTGGGCAAATCTGCTGTAAAAGACCTCTTTCAAGTGTTCAAAACCAAAGAAGTCACTTTGAGGACTAAGGTGCGCCTGACCTAAGCCATGGTATTTTCAATTGCCTTGTATGCATGCGAAAGCTGGACAATAAATAAGAAAGACCAAAGAAGAATTGATGCCTTTGAATTATGATGTTGATGAAGAATATTGAATATACCACGGACTGCCAGAAGAAGGAACAAATCTGTCCCGGAATAAGCACAGCCAGAATGCTCCTTGGAAGCAAGGATGGAGAGACTTAGCCTCACGTAATTTGAACATGTTATCAGGAGGGACAAGTCCCTGGAGAAGGACATTATGCTTGGTAAATTAGGGGATTGGCAAAAAAGAGGAAGACCCTCAATGAGATAGATTGACACAGTGGCTGCAACAATGGGCTCAAGTGTAACAACCATTGCGAGGATGGTGCAGGATCGGGCAGTGTTTCATTCTGTTGTACATGGGGTTGCTATGAGTCAGAACCGACTCGACAGCACCTAACAACAGCAAAAACAAGCTGGGGTGAAAGGATCTTGGAGGGTCTTTCCTCCTGGGAACATTTTTGATTCTCCTTTAAGGAGACCCGATATTAAATCAACTTCAATCAACTTCTATTATTGGTTTAATATGATTTTTGTTTTAACAGGGGGCAGTGCAGGGAAAAGGAACCCTGGTGGTGCAGTGGTTAAAGCGCTCAGCTGCTGACCAAAACGTTGGCGATTTGAACCCATCAGCCCCTCCTTGGGAGAAAAACATGGCAATCTGCTTCCATAAAGGTTTACAGCCTTGTAAACCCTATGGGCAATTCTACTCTGTCCTATAGGGTTGCTATGAGTTCGAGTGGTCTCCATGGCAATGGGTTTGTCATTTTTTTAGTTTTTGGTTAGTGCCCAGGAGGAGACATGGTGGGAGTTGAGGGCTGGGGATCTGGGTGTTGGCTACACAAGTGCATTCACATTGTGAAAAGTGTTGTAGCGGTACATTTGTGATTTGTGCATTTTTCTGAATGTGTGCTCTCCTTGAAAACAGAGAATCCCTGGGTGGTGCAAACAGTTAGGTGCTTGGCTACTAATCAAAAGGTCAGCAATTCAAACCCACCTAGAGGTGCCTTGGAAGAAAGATCTGGCGATCTGCTCCCAAAAGGTGGCAGCCTTGAAAACCCCATGCGGCACAGTTCTATTCTGCAAAGCATGGGGACAGCCTGAGTCGGAATCGATCCTAGAGCAACTGGTTTGGTTTGGGGTTTGTGTTCTTTGTTTTTCCTGTTCAGGCCTTATCATCTCTGGACTCGGCAACTGCCCCTGCCTCTCCTCTCTCCCCAGTCTGTCTTCCAGCAGCCAGAGGACTCTCTGGGGTGCACAAATAAGACCACGTCCCTCCCAACAATTTAGAAAAAGAGGGTGAGAATGGTTGCACAGCTTGAAGAATGTAATCAATGTCACTGGATTGTATATGTAGAAATGGCTGAATTGGCATTATGTTCTGCTGTGTTTATTCTCAACAACAATGATAAAATAAATGAAGTTTTAAAAAACACTGCATCCCTCCTTGCTCTAAAGCTTTTTATGGCTCCCTATTGCTCCAAGATTAGATTCAAGTCTTTAAGGAGACTCCCAAGGTCTTTCTTGGTCCCATCTCTGCTTTTCTTGCATGCTCATCTCTACCCACTTTCTGCTCCTTGCACCATTAACCTCTAGCCCCAAACCTGCTGCTTCAAGCCTCCAGGACTTTGCACCTGCTGTTCCGTTTGCCCGACTCCCTGATTGTCCCTAACACTCTCTTGCCCTTGGAGGTTTGGCTCCAATGCCCTTGCTGTGGTCCCCTCCTCCTTAGGCTCTTTTTTCTCCTCTAGGAAGACTGGCAGTCTTTGGGTTGGGTTGATTTTTCTCTAGTCATCCCCACTCCACACATACATACACACACACTGAGTTTTGCAAAATGAGAAAGTGCTTTCTTCCCCACCTTAGGTTCATAATTTATTGTACAAATTGAATATCACAGGATGAGTTGACATTAGCTTCTCCAGGCATGAGAACTTAACAGATGACGTTCAGACAGTTTAGAATCTATGTATGTTTACTTGAAAACCATCAGTATGAGACTAAAGGTCAACAATCACTCAAAAGCAAAGATGGGAAGATAAGGGGGCAGGGAAACTAGAGTAGAGGAATTGTAACAGAACACAATTAAAGAGAATGTTGCAGCGGCTGGTGGATTCAAACTGCTGACCTTTTGGTTAGCAGCCAAATGCTTAACCACTGCACCACCAGGGCCCCAAGGACTTGTTCCTGCCTGGATTCGAACCAGGGACCTTTTAGTGCATGAGGCAAACATGCTAACCACTACACTACAGAAACTACC